ACGCGTATTTGACTGTCTTCGGGAGTGGTTCTGGGAACTGGCCTCGCGACCACTTCGTGATGACAAGTAGTTCAGTGACTATCGTCGCCAACAGTAACCAGACGTGTTGGCCCATTCGTACCGCTTTCCTACATGTGTTTATATGATTCAGCAGATTATTCATAAGAGAGGACTGGGGTCAGATAAAACCTACCTGGGGTCACCTGTGTATTGATATAATTCTCTCACCGCGGGCAGAGCGCAAAGGAATACACCCGCCAGCCGTGCAATGACAAACGGATGTTCAGGTTCCATCCACAGTAAAGTCTACAGACCATAAACGTCAATAAATGATAAATAAATAAATTCGCTAGATGCGGCGAAACCAAAAAAAAAAAAAAACACGACCCTCACCTTGAGATAAAACGGATTGAGCTCTGCGGCGAGGAACACCGTCAGAAGAAGGACAACCGTGACGTAGTGCGCAAAGTTGGCGGTGCCCTCCCACTTGAACGTCGTCCAATCTGCCGGCGAAAATTGGCTGACCACTCGTTTCGCCTTCCCCCGGATACCCCGGGTCTGGCGGAACCCGCGCCAGACGTATTGCTAACGCACCGTACCAAGCAAATCGGACGGGTATGGTCGGAGCCGCAGGGTGAAGGGGCAGTTCACGGGAAGGAGACAAATGAGCATTTTAAAAGGGAGGCCGTGAAAGAATATGTCAGAGATTTTGTCGATGGAGAGCTTGATAGCCGGGTTAGTACTCACCTTGACTTCAAAGTATTGACAGGTTTTCATACCTGGAGACGGTAAATCACCATGGGAGTGACGGACCAATCTGTCAGTGTGAACTCAGAGTATGATGACCGATACATACCGAGGTAGGTTCCCAGCCAGTTACATATAAGAACGTCGAGTAGCCACTGTTGCGTTGATCAGCAAGAGGCGATGAAACGGGGCCAAGGACCCGGGTGTTGCACTCGACAACGACCACGGGTAGGAGAGGAGTGTAAAATGCTTACATGGTCCCACCAACACTCTGCAAAATTAGCAAGCTGGTGCTGTAGCGAGTACTCCGCGAACTCGAACGCAATGCTAAGAATCTATCGGCGATCGATGAGATGGGGTAAGGATATCGAAAACCATCTATATAAGGGACGTTCTCACCCAACAAAACCAGTAGTCTCGGAGGATCAGCGCCTTGCCAAACCAACCGAGGGCGTGGGCCAGACAGAATATGTCAACAGCGTTCTGTGATTGACGGATAATAAAAAAGCTAGTTAGATTATCGGCACACGCAGCTACTATGAGGTCATCGACGTACCCAAACGTTGATGAATGTAAATTCGCAGTTCTCTGCATAGCTTTTCTCCGGGAGTGGTTTTCCAAGGTTCGGGTCGATGTACTTCATCATCGCGCGAGCAGAATCGAGGTCTTGGAAGAGCAGGAAGACAAGTCCAAGCTCGTACAAGAGATTCAAGCCCAGGACGAGTCGCCAGAATGCTACGCAGGGTTAGCATGGGACATGAGGGTAAGGAAGAAGACGGACCTGGGTGTGGGCGAATGAAAGGACCATCTCTGAATTGGATGACGCCAAACAGAAGGAAGCCTGTTATTGCAGCGTATGCACCGCTAAATCATATCGTTCAGAAGACGAAGAGTAGTCATGCCACGCAAACGTACACTCGTCTCTTGTCCCGACCTTCCTCCAGCACGTCTTCGGTCGTCGCTATATAACTCAGGACCGTCAAGGCGATTCCAAGCACAGTCAGAGTTATAGGTTTGTAGAAGAACCTGACAAGACAGCTCAGTAAGCTATTCTCAGGTATAGCAGGTTTACTTACTCGATACTCGTATCATGTCTTTCCTGAAAAGGCGTTATCCGGGTATATGACTCTTGCCTATTTGCCTACACCAAGGTAAGATACCACTTCGGTGACCAGCATAGTACACCACTCACATCGAACCCTATGTGCGAGAATGCCCGTATTTGTGTCCAGCAAGTAATACAGACAGAGATAGCTCCACTTACAACGGACCGGCATTCCATTCAAGCCAGGTTTCGGTTCAGTGTCCACCGTGAGGAAGGGCGCCGTTAGGTGGTCAGACTCCTCTCCTGGAGAGAATACCGGAGACGTTGGTGAAATTTCGCTGTCGTCTTGATGCGACATGGCGATGGGTGGTGGTGGTCAGTGTCGAAGATGATCTCGGAGAGAGCGTCGGTGGCGTCGGTGCCTCCCATATCACGTCGATCACGGGTGAGTGACGCACGTTGCCTCGGGCACGTAGGGAGGTCGTCAATAATTCCATCTAACCAATCAGGTTATCGAGGAAAGCGCAGTGGAATGAAAGAAATGGTATTTTTTTTTCAGACAAACGTGGCAGACTGAGGTAAGCAGAGTCGCATGGAGGTCTCGATACCGAGCATTGTGGCTAGCGCAGTACACCTCCATCCAAAAATGGTAATCAAGTAAGTTCAGACTTTTCTGCTGGTTATCCTCCCGAATGCGTTGTTGACTACAATGTCACCTTTCGACAGAATTAAATTAGTGTTTCTACTTTTAGATAATTTTGCCAATGTTTACAGACTAGACAGATGACATAGGGCGATGCCGACCCATGGTGGAGACGGTGCGGCAACTCTTCATCACTACTACTACCAATACGGATAGAGATACCAGGAGGATGTAACAAATTACACGGCGAAATCCCCTCTATGCAATGATAGCAAGCAAATCCTCACCGCCGCCGACAGCATCCCCGGAACATCTTCCGGCTTTCCGAAGGTGACCAATGAAAGGAGGGTAGGTTGCTGTCATGCAGTGTAGGTATTCGCCGGTCTACTGTCGGACAACAAATTGGATACCAGTAAACCGTTGACAGCTTTCTGTTGAGCATACCATGGATGTGTCCCACTACACCTATGTGTTGTCCTGCCCCGAGTACTTCATCGTGCTACCAGCACCGCTGAGAGGATCGTCGCTGTCCCTCTGTCAGGAGTCGGTACGACAAACCGAAGACAAAATAACGTTTGAGCATAGGTGACGACCAACGAGGTGAGTGCCGCTAGGCCTGATTCCGCGAACTGTCATGCTGAGCAATTAGCTGAGGAGGTGTCATCACGTTATAGACCCGGTTCGGAGGAATCAACGAACATACCGTAAAGGTGTTTATCAAGGTTACACATTTTGCAGTGAGGGAACCCCGTTCATCGACCAATGATAGCCGACCTTACGGTTGGCCACTCTTCCCGCGCAGGTTATGCTACGCGTGCAGCAAACGATCACGACTTTGATCTCGATCCATTGCAAGTAGAGTTGGTGAAATAGAAGAGGACGCCTCGCCGCCGTCGAAAGGTTATCTATAGGTGAGAAATTCCGACAGCCGTCGGGTGATGTGAGTCGCTCGATATGCAATGGAATAGTTGATCAATGCACACAGCACAGCATCGCGCTCTTGTCGCGAATATCGCAGTCCTGTGGCGTACTCCACCGCAATTGTCGGTGACAATGCACAGACCGAGTCTCAGCCTCGGTGAAGAAGTCAAAGAAGCACGTAGATCGCGAAGCACCGACGTTAGTGACGAAGATAGCGATGTGGAGTGTCTACCAGCTATGCAGGAGCACAGTACCTTGTCAAAGCAGACATACCGGATCTGTAGCCCGAGGGACAATGCAATGGAGGTAAAGCGTTGATGTCCGCTTGATCCAAGATGCTGAAAGCACAGTTCCATTTCGGGGAGATGCAAACGAAGGTACTTGTTGCCATCGAAGGGGAGGACCCCGTCATCAGAGGACAACAGATAGGCAATGGACTGGCGTCGGTCAATATGGCACAAATGAATCTGTCGTATACCTATGTGTCCATCCAGGGCCACACTATGAAGCGAATGTCAGGTACGCTATGCAAACAAGGTCCTCCAATCATATCCCCATATCATCCTATAATTGATGCAGTTCAACCTCGAGTATCTGTAGAGGGAACCTCTGGTGTGAGAAGCGAAAGATAGCGGACGACTCACGAGGCACAGCAGTCTATTGAGAACGTCCGTTGTCCAATGGTAGCCTACTGATGAAGATAAATGCAGATGTCCTGCGGACTCCTGCCAAAGCACACCGAGTGCGGTCCTGTACATTGGGTCGTCCTCATGCTAAGAATACTCCTCCATCGTGGTACTTTGGACGTCCGACAACAATCAGGTATATTGCACGATAGCACGTAATGTTCGTCCAGTCTTGACACTAGCATAATTCGTCCTTACTGTGGCATAACGAGGGTAGAAAGAACCGTATGCTCACCGCGTTCAAGTACCATATCAGATAAGCAGCCTGTGACACTACCAAACTCCAGCAACGTGCTCCAGCGATCCAGAAGTACGAGTCGGTCGTAATCAAGATAGAAAGGAATTCTTGTGTGAGTGTTCAAACGTTCAACGTTCAGGCACTACAGACGAGGTGGTTCGTTGAAGCAATGCTGGCAAGAGACAAGTCGGTTATCTGATTGTTGCGTTTGGGATCCTGCCAATGAGCATGTTCGAGTCGTCAATCTACACCGCGTGATTTTTGCTTACTAGTGATTAACCAAATTACCTGCTCTCAGATATTCTTTACTTGCTCGAGGTTACAGCCGTCCTTTCTACACCGGGTTTGAGTTCTTGAGTGAGTCGTAGCACATTGGGAAGTGATGGTCGTCTGACGCTAAATTCAATAAATACACCAATTCAGAATCAGCGGACCGTAGGCAAGGCGCGCCTATGTCTCGCCGCTCCCAACAGTGATAACATATTTGTACTTCTAATCAAAATCATTCCTAGGGAACATTACCGTTTGTATTCATTAGAATTAAATGCAAACCCGACTGGTACTGTAACCAAAAAACCCCGCACATGAAGTCGACTTCAAACGAGCGCCTGTTATCTAAGCCCACCTAATGCAGAAGTAAGCGAGTACTTGCTTACCAGTGTAGAACAATTGGGAAAGTGTATTGGAAAAACCAGATATTTATAAAATTAAAAAAAATGTTGGACACTGAGGGAGTCGAACCCCCGACCTTATGCAAGCACATCAACCGAAGCAGGAATGCAAAGCATACGCGCTACCAACTGCGCCAAGGGCCCTTGTTGGAGAAGGTCTTAAATAGAACTTGTGTGAGACTAGTTATTCCCGCCCGGGCAATCATGAGACGCTCGTAGCCCTTGCTCTCTAGCTGTGACCGCGTTCACCTCTATCCGAATCACGTAGCTAAAACAGAACCAGACGCATCAAGAGCACGACAAGGAAAATGGAGACACCCTCGAAGCCCTCTGAGGCACCGACACCGATTTACAAGCCCGAGACGACAGGAACGATGTCGGGAGATGTAAAGGAGGCGGTTAAGGTAATGTTCCATCCTCCTCCCATCTCCCCTTCAACGTCTCGCACACCCATAGAAACTGACTACCTACTCGTTAAGTAAAGCGCCTCTCCATAGATGACTTTAATCACATTGGTGAAATGCCTTGCTTGCGGACGAGCCTCATGAGTGGGATCGCGGCTGGTGCGGGTATTGGTATTATTAGGAGTATGACTCTCCGGTCTAGTGAGTGTTCTGTGAACGCGTTCTATCTGTGTATTGGAAAGGACAGAGATATTAATGAGCTGAACTGTGTATAGATCGAATTGGGGCGTTCCATTGGGCGTTTGGCACCTTTATGGCCATTTCTATTGGGACCTGGTATGCGTTCATCTCCTCTTTTGACTTCCTATGTATACTCACTGATATTAATTCGAATACAAATATAGGACTATGTGCCAAAAATCCGTTCGTGACGAACGCCGACGCGTGCAAGTGGTCATCGAAGCCATGCCTCGTAAACTAGCTGCTGCAAGGGAGGCTGAGGCGAAGGCTGCTGGCAACGTAGACAAACAAGCGCAGGGGAAAGAGGAATGCCATTGAGTACGTGTGGTACGTCCCTACTATGCTATAAACGTGTTATGGGCAATAATTTAATGCCATGGATACGTTTACGCTAGATGTTCTTCTCAGAAGTCAAAATGCTGCCATCACTCAGTACCGTATGCCACATCTAATAAATACTATCTACCCTTACAAATGCTCGAAGAATCCTGCCACATGTGTCCCCTCCATGACCGCAGTATTCCCTCGTGTGCCCGCCCGAAGACTTCATTCCGGGAGCTTACACGAAACGCACCCGGTCAAATCATATCACCCACTCCGAAGCCCACACCTTTGCGTCCCAATTCTCTACAAGCTCGGGATCTTTATGGAACTTTGCCTGAAAGTCCGAGAAGCCACCTTGCAATACCAGGACCTCGTGTGGGATGTCTTCTCCTTCGGCTTGTAGGAGGTCGCGTGTTTCTGCATAAATCTATCGATAATAGAAATTATTGACAATTAGGTGCGTCGATATTGCGGACGCTGATGGCTTGGAGACGCACCCGCGCGGCTTTGGGCCCTCTGCGATCGATACCATCGGGTGAGTGAGATAGGAATGGACGGGAGAGTAGGGTGCGCACCTCACTTGCGACAGTGCACAATGAAACACCACGACGGGTATATTCTTCGTCTCCTGCACTAGTTTATCGACTTTGAGGAGGAACCCATGTGAGGGGGAGTTCTGTGAGTTTTTAATATTTCCTCCGTGCCAGTCATCGTCGCGGACGTCGATAATGCAGTAATCTTTGTTCGGAACTTTGGAGGATTTCATGATTGCTGCCAGATCCTATAGCATCATCGGAGTCTACCTTTAATGAGTAGAGGGACTCGACTTACATCGGGTGTTATGTATTTTACACGCATGATCGGAGGTGTGATGAGACTTGAGAGCGGTCGAGGAGGTAGAAAGTATGATGAAGTCGATGAAGTAGAAAGGCTTGAAGCGCGAGGAAGCTTGGATGTCCGAAGCTGCAGACCGCGGGTGGCGAGCCGGGCTATCCGAGTACAATTACGTAAGAAGATCATCGACGCGTCGCGTTCTGTGAGTTTCCACGTCGACATTTGCATGCTGCTCGCTATCGAAGACGACGGCGACAACGGAAAACTACCAGCCGACGTCGCGACCGACAGCTCCTTTGATGACGTTTGGAACAGGAGACGGGGCGTTGCCAGATGTCGCCCGGTCGGAGCCTAGCCTGTGAGGTGACCTGGATTATGAGTCATGACGTGATAATCGCAACCCCAGCGTGTTTGGTTTCGTGCTCGACAGCTGAGAAGGTTAGACAGGCAACGTAGGAGACACAGGACACAGTGAGCAAGGGGTAAAATACAGTGAGCTCACCAGAGGCACATATGCCGGGCGTTGTCGTCAACGGGGACGGAGACACGATGAGAGGATATTCACGTTCGAACGTGTGCCCAACTGCCGAATGTATGCGTACTGGTGTTACGGAAACACCCGATGGGTCCCCATAAAGCGCGCCAGCAGTGCATCACCTCCCGCTTCCCCCTCAACGAAACGAAACTAAACCACCACCATGTCTCTCCCTCAACCTGTTCCCCCATCCTGGAAGGTCAGTTTGTCGTCGTCGAGCGAAGGTTGAAATCGTTCGGAATGGTGAAAAGCTGACTGCAACGCGTGCTGTTTGTTATTTAGGATCTCGGCAAGTCCTCCAACGACTTGTTGAGCCGTGACTACCCCATCGGCTTCGTCCAACTCGAGGTCAAGACCTCAACCCCCTCCAACGTTGCTTTCAAGGTCTCTGGAAAGAACAACGACAAGACACAGGTCATCGACGGAGACATCGAGGCCAAGTACACCAACAAGCCTCACGGTGTCGTCCTCACCCAGGCTTGGACTACCTCTAACCTCGTCCGCACCACCCTCGAGGCGGAGAACCACCTTGCCAAGGGCTTGAAGTTCGACCTGAACACGATTCTTGCTGGCAATGGAAGCGCAAAAAGCGCTGCGTTGACTTCGGTTTACAAGCAGCCCGGTCTCCACACTCGTGCTGTCCTTGATCTGTTCAAGGTGGCGCATTTAATTGACCTAAAATTCGGTTTTCACTTTCTAACATAACCTTTCTCGTGTACAGGGTCCCACCCTCACTGCTGACACTGTCATTGGCCGTGACGGCTTCCTCCTTGGTGCTGAAGCTGCCTACAACGTCACCGAAGGCAAGGTCACCCGCTACGCCGCTGCCGCCGGCTTCAGCGCACCCGAGTACGCTGTTACCCTCCAGGCACTCAACAACCTCAACACATTCTCTGCTTCATACTACCACCGCGTCTCTACTGACGTTGAGGCTGGTGCCAAGGCGACATATGACACCAAGGCAACCACTCAGGGTGTCAACTTGGAGGTCGGCGTCAAGTCGTAAGTGTTTTAACGCATATATTAGCTACCTTGGTGGATATTCAATGGCTGTCAATCCAGGTACCTCGACTCTGCTGCATTTGTCAAGGCCAAGATCAGCAATACTGGTATCCTCGGTCTCGGCTACACCCAGGCTCTCCGCCCTGGTGTCCGTACCTCGTTCGGTCTTGCCCTTGACACTAACCGCCTGAATGAGGCCACTCCCTCTGGCCCGGCACACAAGTTCGGTGCTAGCATCACTTTCGAGGGTTGAGATATTGTATGTATGATTGAAAATGAGGGAGAGTAACGGGAGAGCTGGATGCTAGAAATTACTCTACTAATGCAATATGTTTTCGAGCATAACGTTCAAGTGTGATGAGAAAAGGCGACAGTGACGGAGCAAGACTTCGGATGATGACGAGTACAGTGTAAGTTTTAACGGTGAGTATATACCCGTAGGTCTATCTTCTTCTGATGGCAGTCTTCGTATGGTCTTACAAGGCAAGCTTGAGACAGGTTGCTGCTAGTCAATAATCGCCTTGCATATCGGCCAATACTGCTATAGGTATGATGTTAGAACGTTGGGACGAAGCAGAACGCGCAACATCAGCGGAGCTTTATCAACATTCTTATATAAGACAATCACAGGCTCAAAAAAGGTGGGAGTTCAATCCTTTTCTTATTCTCTGACCAAACAAGAACTATGAACCAAAAGTGTCGCCAATGATTGTCCCCCGACACAAAAGGGCCTACTATGACCAGGGATTATACAGCAATCTTCACCAACGGTTTAGAAGTGTCGTCAGGAACATCGGCACTTCGTCGTGCATGGGCCTAAAAACAATGGGCGAATAGTCAAGAAGGACGATGCATTACCCGAGCCGCCCCTTCAAGGCCACGATGCTCAGAGTTTGAGGCCATAGCTGGCCCTCTTCCTCGCAGGTATAAAAGGCGCGTGGTCATCGAGGGGGAAAGACAACACGCCTCCTCCAAAAGATTCGTATAACAATCCACCCGTAAACCCAGCAAGCAGCTTCCTCTGCCAACTACTCGGCTAGTTCGTTGCTCATAGAACGTGATGCACGAACACAGTACGTCTTCTATACTCCTTCCTATACTACATCCTCACCTTTTTCCCCTCTCTAGACGGGTCAGACGACATACATAACCGTCGGGCCCGCCTCCCCTTCGGCCTCTTTGCCCTCCCCATCATCATGCACCTGTGCATCGCCCAGTCAACTCTCCAGTACCCTCCTGAGGGAGGTGTATCACACATCTCTGAGGTCTCGCGGACTCGCCCTTAGCCCGCGCCCCCTTACGGATCTCTTTTGTGGGTAATCCCACTCCCCTCCCCTCCCCTTCACGGATCTCCTTCGTGGGTAATCCCTGCCACCGCTCCCCTCCTCACAGATCTCCTTCGTGGATAGCCCCCCGCCCTCGCCCAACTTCACTCACCTAGCACCCTTCCTTCCCCCTGCACTCCCGCAGTCTACTAAGGAACAAAGCCCGAAGCCTATTGGGTGTCTTTTCAATGGGTGCCTGGTCTTGGTTTTAGTTTCATGGGTGTTGAAGGAATGGTAGTGATTCTTTCCTCTTGCAATCTCATTTAATGCAGTGCTCTTTTGAGCTGCATTTACAGTATATAGTAGATAGGACTGTCTAGTGCAGTGTCCACTACTTGTAACACTTTTGTATGTTTAATTGGTGGTGACAGAAATGTAAAGTCATAAGGTTTTCCGCCTCTGAATGGAGTGATAACTTGTAGGCTGATAAGCAGGCTGATCTACTATAAGTATCATGAGTGCTTGAGTGAGGATTAATAG